TGGTCTCCGACATGGAGGCCAACGAGCTGGTCACCGACGGCGAGGGCCGCACGAACGAGTTGCTGCAGATCCTTTTCGCCACAGCGCGTGGAAAACACGGAGCAGTATGCCGCCGCCGTGCCTGGAAGAATCGATGCCTCGGACGCCGAGCATATCGAGAAGGCCGTGGCCGAGAAGCCGCACGACGGCTTCGACATCCAGGCTGTGGACCCAGAGCATCCCCAGGGCACGGAGCCCTTCGATGTGGAGGGGGACGACGGCGACGACATCAAGAAGTCTGCGCACGAGCAGGTGGTGCAGTTCGCCGCGGAGCGGGCTGCGGAGCCGCCCAACTAGGAGGCGATTTGGGCGTCGGAAGCGACCCAGGAGGACCCTGTGCAGATCGAGCAGGCTGTGCTGGAGAAGCTGCACGACGGCTTCAGCAGCCAGGCGGAGGTTCAGGAGCAGTTCCTGGGCACGGAGCCTTTCGATGAGGCGCCCCCCCACGACGACGCCAGAGAGGTCAATGCCGAGGTGGTCCAGGAGCAGTACGACACCACTAGCTGAAAGTACCGCGCTGGAGAAAGCTGGCTGCATTATGGCAATCAGAGCGCGGAGATAGAGACAGCATACGTTCAGTTCGTTGAAGGAGGAGGCGACCGACATTACAACATGAAGATTGGTAGTTGCACGCCTGTCCAGCTAGACGATGTCTCGTTCTGTATGAAGTCACGGTATAAAAGCGAGTTCAACAGCTTCAGTTACAAGCTATGGAGGCCGCGAGTAGCGTTGCCCGCATTCACTGACATCTGAGATAGTTATTGTCACATGCCGCTGCTGTAAGATCATAATGTGTTTGGTTTGTGTCCAGTGCTCGCTGCATACTGTGTCTGAGCATTTCTGATGCATCCTGTTTCGCAAGTGACAGACATGCCTTCGGAAACAGTCCTTGAGAAGGAGCGGACCCCTGTGCCGCCAGCAAATCGACGAGCCAGGCATACCCCTGGTGCTTCCCTGCGCAGGAGAGCGGCTGAGGCTACGCCCTTCGCCCAATTCGAGTCGGTATCGACCGTACCACGTTTCTCACTGATCTATGCGTGTATGTGATGGATCTTGACAGACAGCCAGATCAGGTAGTTGAGCCATTCTCTGGTGCTTCCCTGGTCAATAATGGAGTGTCTGGAAAGCCCCCTGGGGGTCGTCGGATGTTTCCCGTGCCACGGGCGCAGTTGCTCAAAAAAAACAACCCAGGCCAGGCAGAGGCCGCCCCGCCCTAGAGGACAGGTGGCCCGAACTTATCATCCAACTGCGTGCTGGTCCTCCTCCTCCTTCTCCTCCTCCTCCTCCTCCCCCTTCTCCTCCTCCTCCTCCTCCTCCCCCTCCTCCTCCCCTCCTCCCACTCACTCCCCCTCCCCCCTCCTCCTCCTCCTCCTCTCCTCCTCCCTCCGCCTCCTCCTCCGCCGGTCCCCCCCCCCCGGACCTCCTCCCTCCTCTCATGCCTCCTCGCCCCCCCCCCACCCCCCTGAGGAGGAGGAGGAGTGAGGCGCCCGGCGCGAGGAGGAGGAGGCGGAGGAGGAGGAGGAGGAGGAGGGGGAGGAGGAGGAGGAGGAGGAGGAGGAGGAGGACGAGGAGGAGAAGGAGGAGGAGGAGGAGGGGGGGGTGGGGGGACGGAGGAGAAGGAGGAGTGAAAGGTGGGGGGGACGGGAGGAAAGGGTGGGTGCAACGAGGAGAGAGGGGGCGGTGGAGCAGTGGAACGGTGAAGTAAGAATTGAAACAGTGGGTTGTGTTGGTTGTTGTGGTCTTCCTTGGGTGTTTTGTTGTTCAACGGTTCTTGTGGTGTTTTGTTGTTCAGCCGTTTTATTTGGTTTCTTTGTTTGTTGGTGTTCTTTTGGTGTTTGGTTGTTCGATGCCTCCATCCACTCCTCCTCCAGTACACTTCATCCTCCATTCCAGTGCCCCTCCATTCAGGAGAGGGGCGGGGCGGAGGAGGGAGCGGAATGGAGGAGCAGTAGAATGGAGGAGGAGTGGAATGGACGAGGAGGAGGAGGAGAATGGTGAGGAGGAGCGACCCCCAACAACAACTATATGCGTTGTTCCCGGGGTGGGGGGAATACGTGACCCACCTATATGTATATATACATACATGTGTGTATATGCATGTCTATATATATATACACATAAGTCATATGTGCGTGCGCGTATGGGTGTCTGTATGTGTATGCGCGCATGCGTGTCTGTATACAGGTATGTACGTATGGTTGTGTATACACGCGAATGTATGTATGTGTAGGATTGAATGTATGTACAGATGTGTGTGTGTGCATGAATGTATGTGGATGTGTAAGCAAGAATGGGTGCACGTATGTATGAATGTATGTATGTGTGCACGTATGTCTGGATGTGTGTATGTGTGTATGTATGTATGCGTGCGTGTATGTGTATACATGTATGGACGTATGAATGTGTACATGTTGTGTGTAGGTATGGATACACGGGTACACGTGTGTATGCATGTATGGTTTATGTGCATATATAAACATATGTATAGGTGTGTACGTGTATGTATGTGTATGTATGTGTGTATGTATGTATGTATGGTTGTATGTATGTATGTGTATAGATGTGTGTGGTTGTACGTGTGTGTGTATGAATGTTTGCATGTTTGTATGCACGCATGCATGTATGCGTTAAAGTGTATGTATGTAAATATGCATGCATGTATGGATGTAGATACGGGTGGAATTACGTGTGTGCGGACGTACGTGTGTATGTATAGATTAAGTATGTGTGGGTGCGTGTATGCATGAGTGTATGTGTGTAAGTATGTGTATGTGTGTATGTATGTGTGTGGATGCATGCGTGCATGTATGTACGTGTATACAAGTATGCATGTATGAGTTGATGTATGTATGCATGTATGTATAAATGTGCGAATGTGTGTATGTGAATATGAATGTATGTATGTATGTATCTATGTATGTGTGTATGTATGTGTATGCTTGGATGTATGACTGTCTGTACGTTTCCAGATGTATATATATATATGCATGTATGTGTGTATGTGTAGATGCGGGTATGTATGTACGTGTGATTGCATGCTTGTGTGTATGTGTGCACATGTATGTATGTATGCATGCATGCACGTATGTATATATGTATGTATGTATGCATGTATGTATGTATGTATGTTTGCATGTATGTATGTATGTATGTATGTGTGTGTATGTGTGTATGTATGTATGTATGTATGTATGTGTATGTATGTATGTATACATGCATGCATGCATGTATGTATGTATGTATGTATGTATGTATGTTTTTATGTATGTATGCATGTATGTATGTATGTGTGTATGTGTGTATGTGTGTATGCATGCATGTATGTATGTATGTATGTATACATGCATGCATGTATGTATGTATGTATGTATGTATGTATGTGTGTATGTATGTATGTATGTATGTATTTTTGTATGTATGTATGTATATGTGTATGTTATGATGTATGTATGTATGTATGTATGTATGTATGTATGTATGTATGTGTATGTATGTATGTATGTATGTATGTATGTATGTATGCATGCATGTATGTATGTATGTACGTATGTATGTATGTATATATGTATGTATGTATGTATGTATGTATGTATGTATGTATGTATATATGTATGTATGTATGTATGTATGTATGTATGTATGTATGTATGTATGTATGTATGTACACGCTCCCTCAGATCTGCGTCGCCGTCTTTCTGGACATGCCCAAATAGGAGGACAAACATATCCTTTGGACCTGCTGGCCGCGTCGGCCACGTAGCTCCAAATCAACTAATTGGCATTCGCGGCAGAGGTGATGTGGAAAGGCCGAAGTCTGACACCTTGGCGAAGAACACCGCAGACGTGATTCCAACATCGAAGAAAACCTCGCCTGCAACTCTACGCTGGGACCATCTCTCTGAAGGTGTCTTCCGTCAAAGGCTTGGGGAAGCCCAAAACCGAAGCCCAAATGCTTGTTTCTCTGGCCAGCGGGGCCAGCAAGACCCGAACACATCGACATTCCGCAGACGCAACCTTGAACCCATCAGGAGAGGACACCTCGTGGACCGTCTGCTGAGACAGCACCTCAGCCCCTTTGAAATTAACCCGATGCTGAGCAATGGCCGCTTGGAGTGGATCGCGCTCGTCTATTCGCTGAACGCCTGGAGACTGGTCTGGCAACTGGACTCAAAGAGCCTGGTTGCTGTCGTCACACCACGCACCGGCTCGTCCTGAGCGTCACTGCCACCATCACGACCCTGCGCACAGGGTGCAGCCGCGGCCTGACCACGATATTGGCCAGGGCGGCAGCTGTGGAGGACGAGAAACGATCGGAGGAAACGGCGCGCAAGGCGACACAAAACATCATCGGTATAAAATGTCACTGGAGGCGGGCTCGCGCCCGCTGCTGGGCACCGAGCCACCCCGCCTTGGGGTGCGACCCCCGGAAGGCTCGGTCGAAGGTGGACGTTCAAGACTGAGGTAAGGCGGGGCCAGGACTGGGCCAAAATCGGACCGGGATAAATCGGGAATCTCAAATCATCAACAGATCTGGAGGATGTCTCGCGCGCCGCGGCCGTTCCAAAAACCTCCAAAATGCTCTGAGAGCGTTCCGGAACGCTCAACGCTCTGGAACTATTTATCCCGGCCATACTATACCCTCGACAAAATAAACCTTAACATGTGTTACGCAGTTCCCTTGTCGATCTTACGTTCTGGGTTTGGGTGACATCGAGTGCAAGGATTTGTTGGCGCTCCCTCTCCAAAGTCGGTCATCGTGCGACTTCCGAGTCGCACCCGCTCAGACCGCGTTTCGCTCTGCTTCAACCTTGAAGGGGGGGAGACACTGAAGGGGTGAAAGGGGGCGACATTGAAGAGGGGCGTCCACCATGTTTGCGCCAGAATGCAAGCGGGACAGAAAGGAGAGGAGGAGGAAGCGGAGGACGAGGAGGAGGAGGAGGAGGAGGAGGAGGGGCTGACTCCTGATTAAGGTACGTGGAGATGATCATCAGCCCATGCAAGTCCTGTGCTTCACGCGGGACTTATTGCGCCGTGCTCATAAAGCACCAAGCCCAGGCAAACCTGACGACCCCTGACTGCATGACCTGATCATGGCACCAGGCACCATTGCGACAGCATCAACACAAGGCCGATCAACATGACTCCTATCAGCTAGAAAAAGAATGATTGGACGCGCAGTCTCCGATAGCACCGGCGATGGCTGACATCATAGGGCAACAAGATATAGAAGGCTTACAAGAGAGGCTCGAGAATATCGGAAGGGGGATGCAGAAAGATTGTGGGTTAGAACCCAAGGACCGAACAGTCGAATGGCATCCTGAACATATTGCGATCGTCTTCCGCCACATCTCAGGCAACAAACAGTGCAGCTTCCCGTGGAGAGCGTGTTTTGTGGCTGTTGTCAGAGGGCATATACAACGGAGACGACAAGTCTTAGCCAACGCCACCTGGTAGCCCGAAATCGAGCGGTCTCTTGCGGAGGTAACCTGCGGCGGTCTGACCACCCCGAGAGGCTGCAGGACGGCCTCAGGAGGACCCCGAAGAAGGCCTCCAAAGGCCAAGAGCATTGATTTTCCGCGTCGGCAAACTTCGACTCACACAAAACCGTGGATTTACCTAACAAGTCCGCACTCACATACAAATATGTAAACTTACACAGATGAAAATCCGCCACAGTGCCCTGGAGGCACGAGTCGGAGTGGAGTCCTCAGGTCCCTTGTGGGATCCCCTGTCATGGAGCCCTCAGCCGTCAACCCCGAAGACTTCTTAAAAAGCCCAGACCCAAAATTGCCAAATCGGCTGAGGCGCGTCGCGTGGCCCCTGGCGCCCGTCGCGTCTAGTCGCGTGATTCTGACTGCCCCCAGAAGGGCCCAGAGGGCCTCACGAGGCCCCCAAGACGGGCTACGAGGGCACCAAATCGCCGAACAATCGCTCCAAGACGCCCAAGATGGTCTCCAGTCGGCCGAAAAAGCGTTCAAGGTGCCCCAAGAGAGTCCCAGGAGCCTTCCCGAGAGAGCCCCGAGAGCCCAAAATCATTGATCGTCCTTTGTTTTTCAATGTTTTGGGGGTCCTCGACTTTTCGAGCTTCCGACGCTCCAAGACCGCCCAAGAGGCCCCCAACAAGAGGCCCCCAGGAGGGCCACAAGAGGGCCCCCAGACGGCCCAAGAGAGCTCGAAGACGGCCCCAGAGGCGCCCAGGACGGCTCAAGCGGGCCCAAAGACAGTCCCAAGAAGGGCCCAAGAAGGGGAACACGAAGAGAAACTCTGAGTCTTCCGCCCCAAGACGCCCCCAGGAGGCCTCAAGGAGGCGCCAAGAGGACCCCAAGAGGCCCCACGAGATCCCCAAGAGGCCCCCAAAACGCACTAAGAGGCACCAAAACAGCTCCCATGAGGCCTCCAAACGGCTCCCAAGAGGTCCCCGAGAAGCCCCCGGCGACATCCCAACGAACATCCTAAAGGTCTATGATCTACAACCCAGGCACGGTGGCGGTATGGGCCGAAGACCATTCGATCCGCCGCCCCCTGTTGGCTTACCACAGGGCTGCCCAGCGTGCTGAACGTCTTACGGCTTAGTTTTTGTTCCTTTCCGAAAGAACTCACCCTGAGGCTTCGGCCGATGCCGCCAGCCACCCGGAAGACTCGGTTGCAACGGGCCCGTTGCCTAATCCCCGGGGCCGAAGCCCTCAGTCCTGAGGAGACTTTAAAGGGCCCGGACCCGAATGTCCGAAATCTCCTGGGGCTTACCGCGGTTCCCCTGGGCTGCCCCGCGGCTTGTCGCACGACTTTTGGGGCCCAAGAAGAAGGCCCCAAGACGGGCCCAGAGGGCCCCAAAAGGCCCCGAAGACGGTCCAAGAGGGCCTCGCCGAACGATCGCTCCAAGACGCTCAAGGAGGCCCCAAAACGGCCCAAGAGGCATCCAAGACGCCCCAAGAGGCCTCGAAGAGGCCTCCCACGAGGGCCCCGAAAGGAAGAAACTGTGACGTTCCTCAAGACGGCACAAGAGGCCCCCAAGACCGCCCCAAGACGGCCAAAGAGGCCTCCAAGAGGGCCACAAAACAGCCCAAGAGCACCCCAAGACGGCCCAAGAGGCGCCCAAGACGGTCCAACCCAAGAGGGCCCCAACACAGCCCGCCCCAAGAGGCCCCCACCAGGAAGCCCCCAGAAGCGCCCAGGAGGCCCCAAGAGGCCCCCAAGAGGCCCCAAGAGGCCCCTCAGAGGTCCGAAAGAGGCCCCCAAATTGGCCCCCCAAAGGCCCCAAAACGGCCCCCGAGAGGCCCCCAAACAGCCTCCAAGAGGCCCCCAAGAGGCCTCCCACCAGATCCCAACGAACATCCAACGCGCTCCATACCCATAACCCAGGCACGGTGGCGGGATGGGCCGAAGGCCATTAATGTAATTATTGTTGGTCCCCCCCGGTGCCTATTGTGTTTTCTGAATAACAGCGCTCCTCCTGGGGCTCGCACATTGTTTCTTACAACGGGGAAATCTTGAGGCTCATATTGAGCCCCTGGCCCCCGGTCTACAACAACAGCGGCTCCCGCCGGATACTTCCTTACAAAAGATTCCAAAATCGCGCGCTCGCGCGGGACTTCCTCACAATATAGGCAGGAATCGCGCTCTCGAGTGGGACTTCCTTTCAATTTATTCAGACGCCGTGCCCTCGACACTCAGGAATCACGCTCTCGCTCCGGTGATTCTCCCGATTTGCTTGGGAATCGCGCTATCGCTCGTGACTTCCTCGCGACTCATGCAGGACTCACGCTTCAGCAACCCGCCTGCTCGACCTAGCCGCCTGGGCCCGCCTTCCCGACCCGCCCGTTAGCGTCTACCCGCCCGAACTGCCCGTCTGGTTCTGCCACGTCTTTTATCCTCCTAGCCCATCTCCTGCTAATCTCTCTCGCGCTCCAACAATCTCCCTCCCCCTTCCATCCGTCCTGTGTTCCTATTGCTGAGGGACTGAGGTAAGAAAGATATACCCCCAAGGGGTTACGATCGAAGACGAAGAAGGCGGGCACCGAGGATTGGAAGATTCGTGTTGACTGGCACGCGAGCACATAGGAACGACCAATCTTAAAATGATTGTCGTCGTCGTCACCACATTCGCGACCCGACCCGCGATCCACTCGCGACCCGCCCGCGAACGACCCGCGAACCACCCGCGACACACCCGCGACCCACCCGCGACGCGCGGGCGACCCACCCGCGACCCACCCCGCGCCCGCCCCCTCACTCTTATCCGCAACTGCGGGGTGCTACATAGATGTATATCTGCCGTCGTGCCTGGAGGTGCTGGAGTGTTCTATTCTCGGACCCTTTCCTATCGAGACCTCAGTCCAGAACGATCCCACCATCCCTTTAGGGCGTGAGTGGTCTGGCGCGTTTCCTCGACCAACCGCCCCCTTCCTTGTCGAGAAGGGAGAGCCCCCAGAGGCCGCCAAGGCACGGCAGTGGCAGGAGGGGCCACGGGCCACCCCATCCGCCGCCGCCTGTATGCACACAGGGGTGCACGGCGTGCTGAGCACCAGATTACAGGTCAACCTTCGGTCTGGCGCTCCAGCTCTCCATAGGCCGTTCGGCCCATCCTGCGCCTTAAAAACTCGAAGAAGCCCCAGGGGCCCTTTGAGGGCAGCCATGGGACCCCCAGAAGGTAAAAGCAGTTGAAACATAGCGTGTTCTTTGTGATTGTCTGCCATGTCTTGGTTTCCACGCGTTTCGGCTCAAGATGGTTCCAAGAGGGTCTCGGAGAGCCCAAAGAATGCCCCCAAAAGTACCCCTATAGGATACCAAGATTGCTCTCAGACGGCCAAGGGCAGCCTCAAGAGGGCCCCAAGATGGCACAAGAGGACTTCCAGAGACACCCCTAGAGAGCCCAAAAGGCGGCCCAGGAGGCCCAAACGACGGCCAAGAGGCCCCCAAGAGAGTCCTAGAGAGTTCGAATACGGCCCGAGTGTGCCCCAAAAAGCGCCGAACAGGGCCCCAAGATACTTCCAAGACTGCCCGAAAGAGAGCCCCAGGAGGGGCCAAAGCGAGCCCCTGAGACGGCCCGAGAGGGAGGTCGCAAAGACGGCCAGAGAAGCCGCCGCCCTCCGGTGTCTGCACGGGGGTGCTGGGCGTGCTCTCAAGTGGGTCAACATCGGCGTCGCCCTCGAAGCCTCCCCCAAGATCCGTTCGGCCCATCTCGCTAGCCGTGCTCGTACTCTCATTCGCGGCCGCGGGCCCCTTGCAACGGTGCGGAAGCTGGCGCGACCAATCTTACCGCATTTCTCGGCCCAAGGGTGACCCAAAGGGCCGAAGGGGGCTTCAGGATACCTCCAAGACTACCCAAAGAGAGGTCACGACGCCAGATGGTCCAAGAGGGTGAGCGCCAAGAATGCCAAAGACGCCCAAGCCGCAATACAAGCCGAATTACGAAGCCCATGGAGGCACCAAGAGGTCCAGACGGGCCCACTTTTCAGCCACGGGGGGCAGCAGGAGTTCACATCGAGAACACCACGTAGACCCCTGGATGAAACAACAAGACGTATCTCTTTCGAGGTACTCAGGCAGCGCAGCACGCCTTGCTCTCGCACCCCCAAGGAACTCCCGAGCTTCTCGAGGAAACGTGCTGGCCCGCTCCGCAAGATGCTTTTGGCACACCCGACATGGATACGCAAAAGATGGGTACGATGTCCCACAGCACATGTTGTTCCAACCCACAGCGGCCGCTGTTGGGCAGGAGGCGACCTCTTGTCTCAAATGGACAACACATGCGGCGACACCGACGGCGAATCCTGTTCAAGATGGGCAAGCACTATTTCCGTCCCCCTTTCGATCGTGCGGATGCTTGACGGCACGGTGACGGAAGCAGATTCCATCCTGCGCACCCGAAGCCCTTGCGGCGCGCCCCGGGGACCCGTCGCCTCTGCTCCCGGACGAGCGGAGCGTGCCGTGGAAAGCGCTCTCCTGCATGAGCTCGACGCGCCGCTGCATCGCGGACGCCATGAGCTGCAGGTGCATCAGTCTGCGGCCGGCGGCGGGCCGCGAGGAGATCGTCGGAGCATCTCACCATGACACGACAGAGACGGGTCCCGAAGGGAACGGGCCTTGGACGCCACAGGACCAGTTTTTCATCCTCAGATGTTTTACGACGGCCCCTTGGCCAAGGCCCGGAAATGCCAAAAATGCGGAAAACGTCAGAACCCGGTTTCCTCAAGACCGGTTCCCTGCATGGCGAATGGAATGGACTCGGACCTGGCTGGCCAGAGCCGATATCGAATCGGAGCGATCGGAACGAACAGGCCCTGGAAGGTCGCTCGGTTTGGGGGTCATAACTCGGGTCTCCGGCGGCCATTTGGGACGATCGGGGCACCTGCGGAAAGATCTCGGCGAGGCGCAGCTGCCAGAACGCATCCTGGATCTGAAGCCTCCTAGGGGAAACCAACAGGTACCGATACTGCTGCATTCTCCCCAGACCTCCCCTGGGGTGCGTTCTGACCAGGACTTCGAGGCGAGTCCAGCGGTGGCGACAAGGGCCTCCCAGGAGGCGCCAAAAGGGGAAGAGAGGCACGGGTTGTCGCACTCCAGACGGCATGAGAGTCGCCACCCCCTTGGGTTCGGGGGGGGGATGGGCGCGTGCCGTCGGGGGGTGGATTCGGGGAGGGGTGGGTGGGGGGGGGGGGGGCAGTTTTGGACGCGCGTTGTGGGGGCGGTTGGGGGGGGATGGGGACGCTCCGCCGGAAGGCTAGTCGCCCACTCCCCCGATGATTTTGCCATGTGGAGTGCGGGTACCCTGCCCTCCTCCGAGACCCCTCTGACGGGCCAATTTTCCACCACCAGTACCACAGTTGGGAGAGGGAGGAGGAGGAGGAGGAGGAGGAGGAGGAGGAGGAGGAGGAGGAGGAGGACCTCCTCATCCTCCCTTCTCCCCCGCCCAGCAGATGGTGGTGGTGGTGGTGGTGGTGGTGGGAAATTTGCCCCTCACCCTCCAGGATGCAAAGGCCTCCCCGGGCACAGTCCTTCACCCGCGCGGGGCCGGGCGCGGCCTCTCAAGGTCCGCCGCGACCAGCGCCCCGCTCCGCACCAGGTCCGCGGCACTGGGGTCGCTGGCCTGCCGCCAGGGCGAGGGGCGAGGAGTGGGGGTGGCTGACGCTTCGGGTCCTCGTGGCCCAACGGCTTGCCCGAGCAAAAGAATGGGGGGGGGCCAGCTAAGGGGGGGAAGTTTGGGAGGTTTGAGGGGGGAGGTTTTCGCACGTTTTCGTTGGTTCTCGGCGGCTTGCCAGCCTGGGGATGCCTTCCAGCGGCTACGCCTCGCCGAGAGCGTCCCGGGGGGCTCCTGGGTCGTCCCGAACGGCCGCCAGAGGCAGTGGGTGATGACCCGAGAACCATCGGGGAACAGGCACGGGGGAGGGGGAGGGGAGACATGGAGCTGGAATCGGGGATACGTCGACGATAGATCGGCGATTGGCCCCCGATAGCATTTCTACACGTTGCTATGCGGTTGGGCTATTGGGCCCCTATCGGCGAACAGTGGGCGATTGGGGTTCGATGCGCCCGCCCCCCAGACGTTGCCTCTGACAGAGGAGCGCGGCCCCCTGGGGTCGGATGGTGTGGGGGCGAGGAAATGGAACGGTCCCTACGCGAGGGGGCATGGCGACCTTACCCTGGGATCCGGGCGTCGCAATTGTTTCACGACTGGCATGTTTGCCGGATTTTCGGACCCAGGACCCTCGCGGATCGGCCCGCCTCGAAAAAAATGCCGCAAAAGGATGGGGTCTGGGGCTCCAGTCGTGATTTGTCACTTTTCGCGTCGTCGGGTCTCATGGGTACAGTACGCCGTGGATTAAGCGGGCCGCCAGCGTGGAACACCGCGTGGAGAAGAGGACGCCTACGCGCGACCTTACGCGGGAAGCTCACGCGCGAAGTCTGCGCAATCGACCCCGTGTTCTTCCGTCGCTCCGATGAGCGTTTCAACCCCAGGGGGTCGTTACCCCCCCTTGCCTTGCGAGGGGGAGGCGCACGAGGGCTGGGTGTTGGGGGGGCAGAGGGGTTTCGAAGGAGGCCCTTTGGTCTTTTTGGCAGGGGGGAGGGGGGGGGGCGATGTATGATGTGGGAGACCCTCTTTCTGGAAACTCCCGAAGGCAAGCAAACTTGACACGCGCTCCCTCATACCAATCATGCTGCGTTGCACCAAAAGCCTTCTGAGAGGCATCGGATCAGATCGACTCGGCCTCGTGAAGCGACGTGCACATACAGCCATTCGAACGCTCCTCTCGAACGTCGTGCGCTCTCGCGCTCGGGGCCGCGGGCAACGGCAACGCACACTTTCATGAGGTGAACGTTTTCTTATTCGGCGTTTCGACATTGGGCGGAAGGGGGGGAGGAGGTACCGGCTCCGGACCCCTGCTTAGTGCGACTGTTTGCAACAGTGCGTCCTACGGGGGGGGGCTCCACCTGCTCGAAACAGGCGCCAAAAACAGCCAAGATCTACTACATGGGGTGGGGGGAAGGGGGGGACGAAGGCCCGCGCCGATCGGCAAAACACAGAATAAAAAACGATAACATGAGAGGGAGGAGGCGGGAGAGTTGTTCAGCTTGCCCGTGGGTCGACGCCGGTCTGCAGCTCGGCTCAGCACCGCTGCTGGTGACCGCCCCGTGGAGGGCACCAACTCATGCTCTGGCCAACGCCGAGCCCTCCCGTCGGGCCAAGTCCACGGTGTGTACCACAACTTCCGCCTCGGCGCATTTTGGGGCGATTTCGCAGATCGGGCGGGTGGTAATGGAGGGTGGCCCAAATGGGGGGTGAAGAAAAAGGCTCTAAAGTGGCCCTTCAGGACCCCTTGTAGGCACCAGCTGGCCCCAAAAAGGGCCCTAAAGAGCTCCTTTAGGGCGCTTTTCTTCCCCGCCCCCATTTGGGCCACCCGCCATTACCACCCGCCCGAGCAGACGGAGGCACAGGGGCTCCAGCAGGCCAAGTTTGCCCAGGGGAGGACATTCTGACATCGGCGAGCAGCTCTCAGCCGCCGCCTGCAAGCTGCGGGAGCAGCTGCAGCGCGCGACTGCAAGCGAAACGTCCGAAGGGCTTGCTAAATCCAGATCATTCAAGTACACGCACGCACGAACGAAGCCAAGCATCCAGCGGGACGCGTGGGCAGAGAAAGAAGGTGCACTTTGGCAACCATTGGGAAAAACGTCGGCTGAAATCTCATCTCGCCGTCGGGTTGAGGACCATTGTCCTTGTACAGTGTCTTGGGAGGGGGGGGCCTTTTTTTTAACTTATTTCAACATCTTGACTGTAATCATGGATGGGTCTCGAGCTTCTGCGGCTTTCTTCAGACAGCGACACGTCGAGCCTTCTGGGCTCTGGGCCACCAGTTCGGGGGCCGAGCCTGGAGCCTCCGCTGCAGGCATCAGCATGCAAAAGCGGCGAACATATCCATACCTATACGACCACCCTTCGGGTGATAGGACGTCCGGGGGGAGGAACCCACGTCTCACCCTATCGATCTCACTATCGATCCCACTATCGATGTCAAGATCGATCGCACAATCGATCTCACCATCGATCCTACAATCGATCTCACTATTCCCTCTGACTATCGATATTATGTACTATCGATCTCATGATGATCTCACAATCGACCTCCTTATCGATCTCACTATCTATATTACTGTCGAGATCGCTATCGATCTCACTATCGATCTCATTATCGACCCCACTATCGATCTCACTAGCGATTTCACTATATCGCTATAGATCCCAATATCGATCTCAGTATCGACCTCACTAGCGACCTCACCATCGATTACACTATCAATATCACTATTGATTTCAGCATCGATCTCACTATCAACCTCACTATCGATCTCACGATCGATCTCAATACTAAATGTCATGATGGATATCACTATCGGTCGCACTATCAATCTCACAAGAGACGACGGGACACCACGGGACACCGCGGGACACCGCGGGAGACCATCAGGACACCACGGAGGGACAACGCGGGACACCGCGGGACAACACGGGACACCACTGGACACCACAAGACACCATCATGGGACACCATCACGGGACACCTCAGGACACCGCGGGACACCACGGGACACCACGGGAAACTATTGGGACACCACGGCGGGACACCGCGGGACACCATCGACACGCCACCACGACACCATCGGAGCACCAATCGAGACATCGCGGGACACCTCAGGACACCACAGGACACCACGGACTACGGGACACTATCGGGACACCACGGCGGGACACCCCCAGCACCCGCCCGCCACGCGCCCAGGGGGTGGCAGACTTCTGTCCTCGCCGCGCCCTAGCCAGAGGAGGGTTCATTCCTCTCGCCCGCGCCTCGCCCGCACGCACGACACGAGCCCGAAACCGAAACCGATTTACTGGTGGGGGCTCTCCGTTCCACTTCGATCTAACCCCCTCACCTCCGACCCATGCCCTCGCGGTCTGGACGCCGGCACGCGATCCCGTGGAAACGCGGTCACATGGATGCGGCCCGCGCAGTGCATCAGGGACAAGACGCTGAGCATCTATGACGTCGCGGCCCAGGGCCCGGCCCGCGAGGCCGTGGACATGGATACCCGCCGGTCGGAAGAAGTGGGTAGAAACATGAAGGAGGAAGGCGTGGAATGTAGATCAGGCTTGCGCCCGCCCCCTGAAGAGGAGGGAAGAGGGACAACCGCGCGACTCTTGACGCAGGATGGCGCTTGAAGTAGATGGCCATGTGGACCTCCAGAAAATACGTACTGTTAACGCCCGCCGTGTACGTTTCCTGCCCACGAAGGAGGCCACGAGGGAGGCAGACGCCCACCGCACAGTGTGCCGCACAGCAGCGGACAACAGGGGCCAGAGGGATCGAGGGGCCCAGCCACTCTAGCGCCGTGGTCTTTTCGGCGGCGTGGCCCAAAGAAATCTTGACCCTGCTGGGGACCGGCGCCTCATGCCGCTCTTTTTTCACTGTCCGGGGTCCGAAACGGTGGAGGCCGAAATTGAGGGAAACAGCGAACCAAAAATCAAGACGTCCGAAGTCTGGATCTTCATCCTCCTCCACCCCCCCGTCCCCCCCAGCTTCTCCTCCTCCGAACTTCTCCTGCTGCCCCCAACCTCCCCCCCCTCCTCCTCCTTGTCCTCGTCGTCGTCGTCTTCAGGGTCGGCAGCACTGGCCGCGAGGCCTTCTCAATCAAGTCGTCTGGGGTCTGGAGATGAAGGGCCGTTTTTTGCCGCCCCCCGCTCCCTCAGGTGCTGTCCCTCCCCCCCGCTGGGCCAGAGACTGTATCTGCTGCAAGATGCGGGGCAGCCGGTCGAAGATGTCGGTCTGAGCCGGGGGAGACCCCTCCTCCTCGTCCTGCCTCCTTCGTTATCCTCATCCTTCTTATCCTCCTCATCAGCAGCAGCATCCTCCTCACCATCACCATCACCATCACCATCACCATCGCCACAATCACCATCACCGACCTCAGCATCATCATCATCATCATCATCATCATCATCATCATCATCATCATCATCACCAGCATCATCATCAAAATCATCATCATCATCATCATCATCATCATCATCATCATCATCAGAATCATCATCATCATCATAATCATCATCATCACCATCATCATCATCTTCATCCTCCTCCTCATCATCAGCATCGTCATCGTCATCTTCATCATCATCATCAGCAGCATCAGCATCATCATACTCGTCATCGTCGTCATCATCATGATCATCATCATCATCATCACCATCATCATCGTCATCATCTTCATCATCATCCTCATCATCATCATCGTCATCATCAGTATCAGCATTACAAGCATGATAATAATACTTATAAGTATTATCATTATTAGAACTATAATGATAATAATAATAAATATCATCCGCAGCATCATCATCGTCATCGTCATCCTCATCCTCATCATCATCATCATCATCATCATCATCATCGTCAGCATCGTCATCATAGTCAGCATCAGCATCATCATCAGCATCATAAGCTCCATCATCATCAGCATCGGCATGAGCATCGGCATAATCAGCATAATCAACATCATAATCATCATCATCAGCAGCAGCAGCAGGATCATCATCAGCGTCATCATCAGCATCATCATGATCAGCATCATCATGATCAGCATCATCATCAGCATTATCAGTATCATCAGCACCAGCATCATCAGCAGCAGCATCAGCAGCACCAGCACCAGCATCATCATCATCAGCAGCAGCATCATCATCATCATCATCATCATCATCATCATCATCATCATCATCATCATCATCATCATCATCATCATTTTCATCATCATCATCATCAGCATCATCATCATTATCGTCACCGTCATCACCATCATCCTCATCATCATCAGAATCATCATGATCACCTCAGCATCATCATCACCCCCCACCCCTCCTCCTCCACTTCCACTGGATTCAATGTGCTCACCGCACTCGCCACCAGATCGCGTGGATCTCAATCCCCAAAATTCTCCGAAATCTGTTCCGAGTACTGCTGTGGATTTGCGCCGGATTTTTCTCATGACCCAAGAAATATGTTCGCTTACATGCCAAACCACTGTGACGACTTGCATAATTTGGGATTCGGCCCGAGAGCCCATAATTCATTGCCCATGGCCCCCTCTCAGGCCCTCGGGAAACCAAAGGTATTTCCTGTTAGCATATTCCACATGGGACCAGTGGGGCGGCTGAACCTGTCAAGCCCTACGGTGTGACTACAGTGAGACCACAGAGAGCCACCTGGAGCCACATGAGCTCCAGGAGCCCAACAAAGCACACGGGACCTAAGAGCTCTATGAAGCCCGATATCTCTATGGGGCCCTGCGGCCCTGGTGAACTCCATGAGGCCTCATGAACCACATGGGCCCCATGAGCTCCGAAGGACCACGTGGAGCCAAGTGACCCCTGCGGGCCAATGAGTCCCATGGGCCCCATGAGCCCCACGGAGCCGCATGGAGCCACACGGGCCGAATGATCCTGTAGGTCACATGCACCTGTGAAGCCCCATGGACCCCATGAGGCATCATGAGCCCTACACCATGGATCACATGGGGCCACAGCAGGCCTGCAAGAGGACCCGCAACCTATGGGACCAAGCGGCTACTTTGAGAAAACCGCAGACCCCGAGGTTTCCAAAAGGGCCTCGGCTGAGCCTGCAAGTGCGCAAAACCCATCCACTAGAAGATGAATCACTACAGCCATGTGTTTTGCGCATTTCCCGCACTGCTGTGTCTAGAAGGCGCTCCCTCCGCAGGAACAGCCAGCGGACGTGTGTCAACCCCTGGGGGGGAAGCAGGCGCGAGGTGCCTCAATTGACCTACCATACACGCGTTCGCTCATATTTGACACTGCGCCAGATTAAGACCAGACGCACTTACAAAACTCAGTAAACATGAATCCCACCAACACTTTAGGGCGTGAGTGGTTTTAGGGTGCTTCCTCTTCCAACCCTTTCCTCCATCATACACGCGTTCGCTCGTATTGTACACTGTGCTAGCTTAACAACAGACGTACTTGCAATTTTCAGCAAGCATGAATCCCATCAGCCCTTTAATGAGTGAGTGGCTTTGGGCGCCTCCGCTTCCGACCCCGTCCTCCACTTCGGGGAGGGGTGAATCACTGATTCATTTACACCCCCTCATCCAGCCGACTGGCGACCAACCCGGGAACATGCCAACACCCCCCCGGGCTATCCCTCTCAGCATCTATATAAACCCTTTCTATGTTTTTACACTCCGGGGGTTGGGGCCCCCACCCGCCCCCCGGGCCGGACCTTCCGGAATCCCTGGCTTCTGGGACTCCTGGACGCCCCCGCCGAGGGTCCCCTGAGAGCTCTGGGCTTCCGAGAGTCCCTGCCAAGTCGTGCAAACGAGCCGGCGGTAGCCCCAAGAGGGCCCAACATGGCCTCCTGATGGCCCAAGAGACCTTCCAAACGCCCCAAAGAGCTCCAAGAGGAACCCCCAAATGGGCCTCCAGATCCAAGCTTGTGCGTTCCCTATAGGCTTTTGCATTATTTTGGCACTACCGTTTTTAGTGCTACAAACACCCTACGAACGCTCAAAGACCCCCAACATCGCCCCAGGACAACCCATGACGGCCCGAGAAGGCTCCAAGACGGACGAAGATGCCCCCCCGATCCCCGAAGAAGGCCCCAAGACGGACCTTCAGACCGCCACCAAGCGCGAGCCCTCCAGCCTTAAAGGACCCACGAAACTGCCAACAGGCGACCAAACGCCCCAACCAGGGTTCACGAGGTTCCCAATAAGACCGAATATAAACCAAAGGGAGCTCCAAGTTATCTCCAAAGGCAACAACATTATTTTCGCGACGACCCCGAGACGCCTCCCCACAAACCCAAACACATCGAACAGGCATTTGACGTACGACTCCGCACTGGCGTCCTCGTCCAGCACTTCCACGAAATATGTCAGAATCCCAATTTCGCGACGCTCCCTCTAGGCACGTGGGTAGGAAGAGGAGGACGAGGAGGAGGAAGAGGACGAGGAAGAGGAGGAGGAGGAGGAGGAGGAGGAGGAGGAGGAGAGGGATGATGATGAGGAGGAAGAGGAAGAGGAGGAGGAGGAGGAGGAGGAGGAGGAGGAAGAGGAGGAAAAATAGGAGAAGGAGGAGGGAGTAGGAGGATTGGGCAGAACCAAGAGGGATCACCACTAGGGGCGGCCAGCACTTCTTTCGCGGACCTCAGAAGGAAGAAGGGCACCCTAGGGAAGGATAACGAATGACATTAGTATGAGGACGATGTCGGACAAGACAACGAAGAGTTATCGCCATGATGCATGCTTGGCCATGCTGCCCTCCCGCCGCGCCTTTCGCCTGCATGCCGAAATTCAAGGACCAAGGTGCGCGGCGTGAAGCGCAAACGCAGTCTTGCATCTATAGATATACAAGACTGCATCGGCGTTTCGCGCCATGCGCCTTGTTCCGGACGCTTCCCCGGCGAAGCAAGAAATCATCGCTTGCTGTAGCAGGGGGACCTCGAGGCCTGGACGTGCGACCGGCTCATTTTTCTGATCTCCCTGGTGTCAGCTGACACCGCGTTCGCCCGATGCGTTGGCACGATTGTGCGCAGGAGCGGGGAAGGAATGATGATTTTCTCACGCGCGAAGGTACTGGCAAACGACGAAACATCAAACTGTTGCCATGGCACTTGTCCATGAACGGGGAACGGGAAGGGAGCAGGGATGAAGGTGGGGCTGAGGAGGCGGAAGGGGGGAGGAGGGGGGGAGACCTGACTCGCTCGATCGAAGAATCTAAACCTCTAGCCTCAAGCGTGGAACCAGGATCAACGGGTCACTCGATGTACTTCGTAGGAGAATGCCGTCTGGGCGTTTCTGGGCCGTCCTGGGGGCTTCTTGGGCCGTCTTGGGGAGCTGGGGCCCTCCAGAGGTCTTCTGAAGCCATCTAGGGCTGGCCCTCTTGGGGGCCTCCAGTGGCCTTCTTGGGGGTCTCCCATAGTTTTTGTGGGTCTCTCTTGGGGGCCTTCTGGGGGCATCTTGGGTTTCTTGTGGCCAGACTCGGGGCTCTCTGGGCAGTCTTGGGGCCCTCTGGGGGGCCGCTTGGGCCGTCTTGGGGAGATATCGGGGGCCCATCGGGCCGTGTTGGACGCTGGGAAGACCGCGAGAGGAGATGCTGAAAATATAATTTCTCTGAAGAGAATGGGGCAATGTTTGCTTCTTTGGGGCTCCCTTAACGCCCTCTTGGGTCGTCTTGGGGGCCTCTTCGACCGTCTTCAAACCATCAAGGATCCTCTTGAAGCGCTATCGTGCTGTCTTGGGTCTCTCGTGCGCCTTTCCTATGACCTTTCTGATCGCCTTGAGTCTGCTCGCAAGCCCCGGCAAAGCGCCATGGGAGGCCCGGAAGGACCAGTGGACCTTTTCCGAAAGGGCGTCGAGACGTCCGAGAAGGCGTCCGGGGCGTCCCTGGGGGGGGGGTCCAGTTTAGGGGGGGTGAGGGGGGGGTCCAGGTTTTCCAAGAAGCGGGGGGTCCCAGAAGGGCCAGCGGGCCTTTCCGAGGGCGCCCAGGGGGCGTCGAGACTGACAGGGCGCCCCCCGCGCCCCTGGGGGGGGTCCGGTTTGGGGGGGGGTCCGAGTAATAGAAATAAATGAATAGATCTATATATATACACACATACAAACATATGTATACACATATATACATGTATACACATATATATATATATATATATGTACATATATATACACACAAATACATATATATATATATATATATATGTACATATATATATATATATATATTACCCAGACCCCCCCCCCACGGACGCCCCGG